GGTTCGGCATTCCAAAATTCGGGACGTCGGCACTATGGTTCGGTTATACCGAAATTCGGGAATTCAGCACTTCGGGACTTAGGGTAAGTGTAGGGTTAGGGTTGAGCTAGGAGTATGGTTAGAGTTAGGGTTGGGTTAGGAGTAGGGTTAGGAGTAGGTTTGGGTTAGGAGTAGGGGTAGGGTTAGGTTAAGAGTAGGGTTAGGGGTTGAGTTAGGGCTGGGTTAGGAGTAGGGTTAGGGTTAAGAGTACGGTTAGGATAGGGTTAGGGTTGGGTGGAGTGTCTGTAAATTGAATACCCATTCTATTTTGCTTTTACCTAGGATATTTTTAATATTACCCCCTCTCCAAGGAATAGTACATTTTTGGATTCCAATACATTTAAGTAATTTTTGATCATTATTATGTAGAATGAAATGTTTTGATACTGAATGGTTAAGATATCCTTTTTTAAGATATCCTTAATACTCACGAAGTCTTATTTCTAAGTTTCGTGTAGTCATATCCTTGTAAGTACATTTGTATTCATTTTATCTACTGACATTTTTATATTGAGAGCACTATTAGTTGTCTTTCTATCCCTTTCCTGAATTTCGGATACTACTCTTGAGGTGGACACATGCTGCATATCCTATAAGTGGGGATTATACCGCGGTATGCCTATTTAGCTTGAGATGGCTATAGCTCGCTTAAATGTGAGTGTACTACCATTATTTCCACCTATATTATATATCTGACCATATTTATTGCACTATCTGCTGTCCTTAGCTTTTTGTCTTTTATATACGCATAAGGAGCATTCGGATTAATAGACTTATCGTTTCAACTGAGGATCTTTCATTTTCTATCAAGTACTTTATATTGACTCTCATCTATGACTGTCACCTATACAAGACGATCTCTTACTAGGTCTATCGCCACTATTGATATTATTTGTATATATTGTATCTTTGGCGCAGCCTTTTCCTTGTTTTGTCTTGTTTTATATTTGTTTTAAGGGTCTTCCTTTTTAACCCCTTAAGGACCAAACTTCTGGAATAAAAGGCAATCATGACATGTCACACATCATGTGTCCTTAAGGAGTTAAGGTTGCTGTCTTTTGATATTTTGTGTGTTAATTAGCGCTGACGTTCTTTGGCACACCAGTTCCATGCTGCCACTACATGGTCACTGCCCCCGGTCTCTAAGGCTACATCTGGGCCAAGGAACCAATGAGCCCCATGGGAAGCCTCAAATAAAAGTATAGCAGCCTAAAAACTAGTGTCCTACTGGATATGTAGACAAAAAAATAAAACTGGGGATCTATAGCTGAAGGGGATGTATTTATAAATATTGATATTATTCTTGTCAAATGACTGGAGTGCTGTCATGGCCATTGTCAGGAAGAAGGATTTTCAACTAAAGTGAGAATGTAAAGTGAATTTCAAAATAAAAGGCAGAGTAACCCAAACTGAGTTTGAGCATTTTTCCAACTCTGCTATTTTACCTTAAATTTTAAATTCACTTTGAATTCTCACTTTAGTGAATTACCCCGAATATATCTATTGGTGCACCTAAAGAAATACTCCAGTGGGATTTCTTTTTCTAAACAGTTTAGTGGATATAGCCCCCTTTTTGACTGAAAGTCTGTGCTGGTAAATATTCCAAACTGAGGCTTCTCCTGTTCTCCACTTCGCATGGCTGGAAGCCAGAAAGTCATTGGACAGGACTGAAGTGCTTTATGTGTGTAGAATGTTACTTTAATGAGAAAGAGTGAATAAACAGTTGATTAAAGACATAAGAGAAGTGTTAAAACTGCCTCAATCAAAAATGCACAAATTATTGGAACATTTTCAATCATTAGAGAATGATTCCTAATGTGAAGGTGTGAATAATGACTGTATGAATGCATGTGTGTATTTGTGCTTAGTGCTGGTATGTGTGAATGCAATGCTGGATACCTGTCTAGTGCAAGTGTTTTAACCCCTTAAAGACCGATGACGGTCCTGAACCGTCATAACGGTATTATTTACTTACCTGATCGTTGGCGGTCGGCGTTGCTCCCAGTCTGGGGGGACTGCTTGACAGCCCAGGCAATTAGGACCCCACGGCCATGTAATCTCTCTAAAATGGCCGCAATAGGTGTCCAAGTAGATACTTGCAAATAGCAAATTAATAAAAATATAATTCATATATGTGTGTGTGTGTGTATATATATATATATATATATATATATATAATGTCATACTAAGTGTATTTTTCTATTAATATATACATATATTATATACATATATAATAAAAAACACTTTTAATTAAATTGCACAGGTATATATAAATATATATAATAAATATAATAACTACATATATTGTATATATATAAAATACAAATTATAAGTAAATTAAAATAAATAAAACACATGAAAATAATAAAAAAAATTATATATATATATGACATTTTATTCCAACTGTATTTTGATATTAATATATATATATATATATATATATATATATCAAAATACACTTAGAATGAAATTATATAAACACATCTATGTATAAATACATAAAGAAAAATAATATGAAATACGGGGGGAGGGCGGAGCCTGACCTTCGAGCTGAATGGACGTGTGGCACAGGAGCTCCTGCAGAAGTGCTCCAAAAATAGAGTATTTACCCCAGCTTTACCGCTGACACGTCCAATCCTGTGTCCACACTAAGTCAGGAAATCTCAGGCAAGCTATCCGACAACCCTCCCGCAGGTTTACACTGCTGGGAGCTGGGGAATACTAGCTGCGGCCTACCGGGGACGGAGACGGGGAGAGGCAGTCAATCTATTCGCCCTCGAGTCTGTGGTTCGGACCAGTAGCATTCCAGACCTCTTCCTCCCTCCCTCTGGACCGGTGGGGAATATCCTGGTTCACCCTAGCGAGACACACGCTGTCAGTGTTGTGGAGAAACTTGATACTCACCCGGAGCAAGACAAATCCAACCAAGATGGCGGACACCACAGTGCCTGTGACACAAGGCCCAGCCCCAAGCCATGCAGCAGACTCAACAGCTCTCTTATGCAGCACCTCAGCTAGACTGGATGCAATCTTTGCCCGCTTCTGGGTCATGCTGGAGGAGAGGATAAAACCGATGCACCCTGAAACGATCCATGTAGGGGACGAAGGGTATTACGGCAGAGGGAGGCCTCCAGGGATTCCCCTGTGCACCACGCTACTTTGGCACCAGCTGCCCCTTCAATTCCCGACAATCCCACACTGAAACCCACCTGGAGACTCACCCCGCTGCAAAAGCCGCAACACTGGCGAACCGCAAGGTATCGGAGATGCAGACGCCACTAGACACCCAAGCCTGCACGCTCTCTCCCGGATAGGAAGACTGAAGTGCCTGGAGTTCTGCCTGCAAGCGACAACAAGAGACATGCTGTTCCCCTGGTCTGGGACTGGGAGGTGGAAGCTCACCTACGGCACAGCAGTGGTAATCAACCAAGCAGACTGCATGAATGTACGGAAAGCCTACCCAGCCTGGGCATAGGATGACTGCCATGGGTTCCCCCTCAGGCGCTGCCAAAATGTGTGGACACTATGCCCTCCTCACCTCTGGCACTATCAGGCCCGGCGCCTCCTATAAAGCAACCTACATATAAGGTGCTACATATGAGGGGGCGCCCTCATCGCCGGCCCTTCTAATGTTGCAGCCGCACCTCTCTCCCCCCTTTCTCCTCAACCCCCTTCCCCTTCCATGTGTAGCGTGGCCAAGCTCCTCTCCGGTCCGCGGTCCAGGTACATCCGCTTCCTGTACCCGGCTGGACTGATAGGAAGTGTTCACTCAGAGGAGCTCGGCCACGCTACACAGGGAAGGGGAGGTGAGGAGAAGGGAAGAGGAGGAGAACACGGTGGGGGGGTGGAGAACACAGGGAGGGGAGGGCGGATGGTTAGGAGAACAATGGGGGTGGTGGTGAGGAGACCACTAAGGGAAGGTGGAGTGAGAGGAGAGACCACTAGGGGAGGGTGGGGGGAGAAGAGAGACCACTAATGGAAAGGGGGGGCGCAGAGGAGAGCAGAGAACACTAAAGGAGACCGCTAATGGAAAGTTGGGGACACAAGGAGAGACCACTAACGGAGGTAGGGGAGGAGAGTAGAGACCACTAAGGGGCAGGGGAGAGCTCTAAGGGATGGAAGGGAGAGCTCTATAGGACAGGGGGTAAGACAGGGTGCTCTTTCACACTACGCACACACACACGCACACACACAATGCATCCCTATACATACACAGAAACACACAATGCATCCCTACACAAACAGAAACACAACATGCTTCTTTTACACAGAGAAACACACAATGCATCCATTACACACACACACACACACACACACACAACGCAATCCTTACACATAAAGACAATGCATCATTTGCACACATACACAGAAACACACAATGCATCCCTTATACACACATGCAAACACACACACTGCTTCTCTTACATACACACAGAAACACAATGCATCTCTTACATACACTCAATGCACCCCTTACAGACACACACACTGCATCCCTTACATACACAGAAACGCATCTTGCATCCCTTATACATACAAACACAGATTCACACAATGCATCCGTTACACACAACCAGAAACACACAATACATCCCTTATACACAAACACACACTGCTTTCTGTCCCTTACACAAAAACACACTGCTTCCACTACACACAAACAAACTGCATCACCTACACAAACTGGTATCCTTATACACTACATTCCATAAGCACACACATTAGATCCTCTACAATAACACATAACATGTTCCCTGTGAGTGAACTCATGGGTGGAACATGTAGGCAGTGGTGTATCCTGGTTTTGTGCTGCCCTAGGCAGGACAAAACTCAGGCGCCCCCCTCCCCCGCACCACCCCCACCCAACCCTTCCCCCCGCCCCACCTTCTAAATACACACACAGTCAGACACAAACACACACACACAGTCAGACACACACACACACACAGTCAGACACATACACAGACACAAACACACACACAGTCAGACACATACACAGACACAAACACAGTCAGACACAAACACACACACAGTCAGACACACACACAGTCAGACACACACACAAACACATACACACACAGTCAGACACATACACAAACACAGTCAGACACAAACACACACACACTCACAAACACAGTCAGACACAAACACACACATACACAGTCAGAGACACACACACACACAGTCAGAGACACACACACTCACAAACACAGTCAGACACAAACACAGTCAGACACAAACACAAACACACACAGTCACAAACACACACAGTCAGACACATACACAAACACAGTCAGACACAAACACACACACACACACTCAGACACATACACAAACACAAACACAGTCAGACACAAACACACACACACTCAGACACAAACACAGTCAGACACAAACACACACACACTCACAAACACACACACACTCACAAACACAGTCAGACACAAACACACACAGTCAGACACACACACACATTACCTTTTTTTTTAAAATTTAAATCCCCCCCCAACCTCCTTACCTTTGGGAGTGCTGGGGGGGGTCTCTCTCCCTGGTGGTCCAGTGGCTGCAGGGCGTGCGGCACTGGCAGGCGGGCGGCTGGCGAGGGAGCACCTCCTATGAGCTGACTGCTCAGCTCCCTCGCGCGCCGGCTGCAGAGTGAGGCTGGGAGCCGGAAGCCAGTCAGCTCATAGGAGGTGCTCCCTCGCCAGCCGCCCGCCTGCCAGCGCCGCCCGCCCGGGATGTCAGTTAGCCGCGAGGCTAACTAGGCATTTGCCCTGGGCATTTGGGGGGCGGCGTTTTTTGCCGCCCCCTGAAAAATGCCGCCCAAGGCAAATGCCTTGTTTGCCTCGCGGCTAATACGCCCCTGCATGTAGGTGGACTTATCGGTGGGTGTTATTGGCATACTCACCCCTCATCATCCTCATCTGGTTGTAAGTATACAATCTAGTATATTATTAATGACACTAATCTCTAATTTACCCCACATTAAAGGGACACTATAGTCCACAGAGCCACTGCAGCTTTTTAATGTCCCTGCAGGCTTTTTAAGCACTGGCGTTAGTTCATATGGCAGATCATATATGGGGCATTGTGATGTCACATGGGGGGGCGGTAAATTTTTCTTTTGCCTAGGGCGGCAAAAATCCTTGCACCGGCCCTGGACACTATAAGCCTGATATGACAGAGCTCGCACACTACTTTCCTCCTCATGTTTAACACAGCTCCTGTATACTTATTCTCCACACCCTGACACAGCAACATACCTACTCTAATGCTAACTTTCATACTCATTCTCCTGTACTCTCTCTGGTCTTAAAGGGACACTCCAGGCACCCAGACCACTTCTGCCCATTGGAGTGGTCTGGGTGCCAACTCCCACTACTCTTAACCCTGCAAGTGTAATTATTGCAGTTTGTTATAAACTGCAATAATTACATTGCATGGTTAACTCCACCTGCAGGCACTCCATCTGCACTTCCTGATTTCTAGCACAGGACCTCCAGCGTCGCTCATTTCCCTGTAGGAAAGCACTGAAATGCATTTTTAATGCTTTCCTATGGGGAGCGCTAATGCGCATTAGGTCTCGCCACCGGCCGACGCAATCAGAGGGAGGAGTGGCGCGGAGGAAGAAGCAGCGACGTGGGACATCGTTGCTGTCTCTGGTAAGTCACTGAAGGGGTTTTCACCCCTTCAGCAACCGGGGATTGGGGGGTGGGAGGGAGAGAGGACCTGCAGTGCCAGGAAAACTGATTGTTTTCCTGGCACTCGAGTTTCCCTTTAAGATCAGATCTATGTCTTATGTCTATGTCTTAACCTGTTCCCTAAAAATCTAAAAATGTGCAACTTATGCACATGACACTGTATATGCCTCTGAGTTTGCAATAAGCTTGTCATTGCTGTTGTGGCATCACAAGCTTGTATGTCTTTCCTTGCACTATGAAATTTTTTTTATATGTATTAAGGCCGTTTGGCCTGTATTTGTGGGAGGGGCTTAAATTAATTCACTCCCCTATATAAGGGACACCCCTTACCTGACTCATATCGCTTGAGGTCAGCATCAGAATGATTTCCACTTCCGGGTCATCCAGACGCCATTTTACCTGATTACTCCATGAGGTTTTCTAAGCTGAGCTGTGTCAGGAATCCAGCCACAGGCTTTTCCGGCCTACCACCTTCTTTCTTCAATCTATTGCTGTGGATGGTGTCCAAGTGACTCACAAACCGTAAGTCGACCTACCCGTTACGCCAGGCATCAGTCCCATGGCACCATGCACGGGTCAGGTCCTCACTTTACGGCTGCATTTTGTCTATGTCTGTTCTAAAACCATTGCATGTTCATGCATATCATTCATTTAAACCCCCTACCGGTCTTTGGGTGTACTACAGGCTTCTTAGACATTATTGCATTTCATGTACAAACCAACGAACCACTGCATTTTCGCCTACACACTGACCCCTACCGGTCATTCGGTGTACTACCGGCTTCTCAGACATTATTGCATTTCATGTAAAAACCAACCAACCACCGCATTTTTCACCTACACACTGATCCCTATCGGTCATTCGGTGTACTACAGGCATCTTAGACGTTTTTTGCATTTTCATGTACAAACCAATAAACCACCTCATTTTCACCTACACACTGACCCCTACCGGTTTTTGGTGTACTACAGGCTTCTTAGACATTATCGCATTTCATGTACAAATAAACGAATCACTGCATTTGCGCCTACACACTGACCCCTACTGGTCATTTAGTGTACTACAGGCTTCTCAGACATTATTGCATTTCATGTACAAACCAACGAACCACTGCATTTGCGCCTACACACTGACCCCTACCGGTCATTCGGTGTACTACAGGCTTCTCAGACATTATTGCATTTCATGTACAAACCAACTAACCACGGCATTTTCGCCTACGTGCTGACCCCTACCGGTCATTCAGTATACTAAAGGCTTCTCAGATTTTATTCCACTTCATAAGCAAACAAACTAACTACAGCATTTTCGCTTTTATACTGACTCCTATCTGTCAAATGGTAGCATTAACCCCTTAAGGACACATGACATGTGTGACATGTAATGATCCCCTTTTATTCCAGAAGTTTGGTCCTTAAGGGGTTAAAGGGTATTTTAACAAATACAATCAGCATTTCTGACCCCTACTGGTCAACAGCAAAACTGTCTTCACATGTCATATACAATTTACCAGCCAATATAAATTACACATAAGATTGTTTTAAACATAACTATAGACCATAAATTAAACTCCAGCACGGGCTCAACTTCAGGTTTAATTCACAATAATTTACATTTCACATCAAGACCAACAGTGGTTCTATCAACACTGCCACCTACAGGTCTGTCAAGTACATTGACAATTTTCATGGGGTTTTACAAACACCAAAACACTGACACCTATAGGTCAACAGACAAACAACATTTCACATACCAATCAGTATCCAACTACACTGCCACCTATAGGGCACTCGGCAGATCTCCAGTGCACTTGCATTTTGCAAAACCATGTTCACTGACCCCTACCATTCAATAAGACATACAACAATTCACATAGCAAGCACTATATCAACATCTGGTATAAATACATATATTATTACACAGTAGCAGACGCATCTGTATATATGTAACTGGTAATATAGTTCACATACATTTTTCACAGCACGCTGCTCCAGCAACAGACTTCCCCTAGCAAGGGGACATACAACATACAAGGTGGGGACAGACCACATTTTCACTTGTACATACGGCACTTAATGGGTTAAGATTGATACATATTTAACCAGTATGGCTACGATGTTTAATATTTACACATCACGTCACTTTACTTTTCACATATACTGTACGTATTAAGATAAGCTTGGTCTATGCCATATTTCCTTATGCCATACGGTTTTATCCATTCAGGTTACAGTTACTACTAAAAAACCTATACGGATTGTCAGGTTCAATACCATACTACCAGGTACATACACCTGCTCACGTAGTTATCCATCTCTTACCTTCCCTGGAATAGTAATAGTGTACTGTCAATTAGGGTTCTAGGGCCCAATCGGTATCACCCCCTTTTTTCTCTGCATTATGCTTCGGTTAGTGGTCCCGCGAGGCCAACACCCCGCCTCACACTCGGAGGCATACACCCCTCGGGCCACTCGTGAGCTAGCCGCCTCGCATTGTATCATAGAGAGGACCTCACCTGTCACTCCCCTTCCTATTTTCTGGTTACTGTCACCGAGAGGCCAACATCCTGCCACAACGTTCGGTGGCCACACAAAATCCCCTCGCGCCAAGCATAGATAGAGCCTCTCAAGCCACTTGGCAACTAGCAGGGTCTCACCAGTCACCAAAAAAAAAACCCACCAAGCCTAATCGTTTCGCCTTATGGCTTAGCTAGCAAGCCAGTACAAGAACCCTGGGTACAAATAATAATTGCAATCTTTATTGTTATTTAAGTATTTCTCAAAAAGATGGTGAAGAATCACCTCTTCCTAGCACCCCGGCTAGAATTGATACACCTTCAAGCAGAGGAGATGTTGCTAGTCCAGCAGCAATCAGATCCTGGACGATCCCACACATTACCACCGACCTAAGGAGGTGACAAATCCCCTACCCTGCTACAGCAAGGAAAGCAGTTATTCAAACTCCTCCATACATCAACGGACAACACGGAGGCAGGGGAAGGCCCAGCTACATCAACTCAGGTGACACCCAGGCTATGCTAGCTTCACTCATAAACTCATGAGCCCAAAAATTTATGACAGACTGGCAATCTTGAGTTGGTCACCACAGCCCTCACGCTACTGTACAACCAGCACCAACCGAAACTCGGTTACCTGGTACAATCAATTCTTATGACACACAAGATGTTAAACCTGCACGTATGATCCCAGCACATTGGGGAAGCAAGGCATATATATGTATGATGATGTATCTGTGATGGTCAGATCCAGGGATTCCAGGTAAATCGGGAACTGACCATCCCTTGGTTGGGTTGGCATTTGGAATATGTGGAGATGTTTATTTGTGCAGGTACCCATGCAGAAGGGATTTTGTCCCAAACAAATGGGCGAGCACTCTCAGGCTCCAGGTACCAGCACCTCTGAACTACCAGCGACCACTGATATGAGTAGTTGCATTGCATACAGACTGTTGCATATATGTTCAAATAGTTCAGGGCACATGACAAACCATGTGTCCCAATACAACTTACAAATAACGTATTCACCATCTGTACACACCAATGCATTTTCAACACTACTGACTCATCACCCTTCCAGACTTGTAGTAGATTTACTAAAGCTCTGGAGCTTCAAAGGGCTCCCATACAGGTATCAAACACACCTTCAAGGAATATAGCATGCCCTCACTTACAGTCAGCACAACAAAACCATTGGCTGTAAACACACTCATAGCAA